AATCTGAGATGGGAGGGGCCCCCACAGCCTGGCTGGCCGGTAATGGGGTTCCTTGCCCAGACTGCCGGCCTGCCATCAAGTGCCCTTTAATGGGCCTGTAAAGACCTAATGATGACCCTTAATCTGGGCCCTGATGGCCGGGCTCTGCAGCCATTACCATGTGAAAGGCTCCTTTCGGGTCTCTTTGTGCTCTTTGTACCCAGGGCTGTTAGGAGCTGCCCATCCCCGGGCTCCCCTGCCAGCCGGGAAAGTCCCCCCTGGCTTTGAGGGGTCACAGGTCCCCGGTCCAGGTGCTGGGGAGGCACCAGGACGAGCTTCCCGGTCCCAGTGCCCAAGAGCCCGAGGTGGCCACGTCCCTGGCACTGCAGGGACGGCGGGTTGGGTCTGCCAAGGGCTGCTCCAGCTCTCCACTCTCGGGGCCACGGGGCAGCACTCCCCAGGGAATGGCCCCGTGCTGGGGCACCCATACCAGGGCACCCGCTCCTGCCCACTGGCCCAGTGGGACCTGGCCAAGGCACATGGGGGAAGCAGAGGGGTTGGACCATCTCAGAGTTTGATGAAGGATGTGCTTAAAAGGCTCCTCGCAAGGAACTGCACATCCCAGGTATGTGTTGGATCCCACTCTGCATGCACAGGGTCCCCCCCCCGGCCACCCCGCGCCCGCCGTACCGGAGCCAGCCCAGGACACTCGTACACAGTGAAGTCTCCATCCTCATTCTCCTCGTCAGACGACGCTGAGTCCGGCAGCTTGGGCTCCTCTTTATGCCTGGGGGGAGAGGATGCAGAGAGGGGGTGAAGCCCAGCATGGGGATGATTAACAGCACCCCAGTTAATGGCAGGGCATGGACCAGCAACCAGGTCTGCTGTCTGCTCCCAGGGCAGCTTACTTCTCCATGGAGAGCATCTGCTGCTTTTGGTGCTGGTAGTGGTACATCTGGGCACTCTGAGCCAGCGTCTTGTCCCCGGGCTGCAGAGAGAGCAAGGACAGGCATGGAGGCCGGGCTCTGGAGAGCCCCCAGCCCAGCTGGCAGGTGTCCCCCGCCGTGTTGGAAGCCTCTCAGGCAGAGCATACGCCTGGCCCCAGCACCAAACACCCTGCAAGGGGGGACGTGGGCGCCTTACCGAGATCTTGTCATAGGGCAGGGGGCTGGCCACTCGCTGTGCTGAGTAGTCTGCTTTCTGCGCCAGCCTGACCTCCTTCTGCAGCCTGCCAGGGGAGAGGAGAGCGGTTGGCAGGAGCCACCGGAGTGCATGACTCCATACGGGAGCCAGTGACCCCTGGGGGGGCTCAGCCCTCCCACCTACATCCCTGTTCCCTGCGATGGCACCCACGACGGGTGGCACCCCCAGGCACAGCCACCTTCATCCCGCGGAGCCTGGGCACGAGGCACCGACGTGCTGGGGGTGTCAGCACCCAGTGCCACAGTGATGCCCAAACCAGGTGCCACCCGCTCCCAGGAGCCTGTGCCTGGCACGGGGGTGTCCCACCCCTGTCCTCCAGCCCCGACTGGCAGACGCTGTACGTGCAGGGGGACTGGCAAGGACAGCTATTGCCTCTCCTCCAGCCCCCCCCCCCCCCCA